GCGGGCGGCACTGAGGTGGGATACACTCTGGGCGAGCAGGGTGGATGGACAGAGAGACAGACAAGCTCCACCTCGTGGCTCCCTACACCCACAGCAAAGCAGGTGCAGGACAAGCAGAGAACCCAGGCATAGTGACAGCCCCGTGCTCCCCCAAACCTCACCAGCAGCAGCTTGAGCAGTGCCGCCGTGTCCCGGTCCCCCGTGGCATTGAAGAGCAGCACACGCACCTCGGAGCCGCTGCGGGGAGAAAGGGCAGGTGGCCCGTGCCCCACAGAGACCCCCAGCACCACCACACCCCACTTCATGTGCGTGTCCCCTCGTGTCCCCTTCTTACTCGTGGGGCTTGTCCTGGTTGAGGGCAGCCTGGTGGAACCAGCGGACACAGGCCTGGATGCTGCTGGTGGGGTGAGCTCCATCCAGGTACCACCTCACGGGGCCGTGGGACAGCACCTGGGTCCGTCCCAGCCACTCTGTGTCCCGCAGGCCTGGGGGGACACAGGGCATGTCTGGGACCACCACACCCTCCCCAGTACCTCCACGAGTGTGAGGCAGACAGCCAGGCTGTACCCTCCAGCACAGTCTGCACTGGCTGGCACCCAGCATGGCACCCCCAAACCCTGCAACATGGCAAGGGGAGTCCTTGGCATAGCCTTACTGCACCTTGGATCATGGCATCAGTGGGTCGGAAGGTGGGGGCCAGCGGCACTGGCCTTCCTGTCAGCTCACTGCTTGGTGGCGTCTCCTTCACCTCCCCAAGACCTGGAGGGACCAGCACCCTGCTGAGACCCTGGAGGCCACAGTGGGGTCTGACCCCCCATCCCTGTCTCCCCTCCTTACCCTGGCAGCCACGGCGCTGCAGCCACATCCGTGCCAGCTGCAAAGCCAGGGCAGCGTTGGAGCGCTGGTGGGCACCTGCCAGCCCCAGCTCCAGCGTCCGGCACTCCTCAAAGTCATCCAGCTCCGGGCACAGGTACAGAGGACACTGTGGGGACAGGAGGCTGAGCCCTCTGGCATGGAGTATCCCCATCCACACCCCCACCACCAACTCACCTTCCGCTCCTGCGCTCGCTCCCTCAGCACCTCCAGCGGCCGCTCTGGCTGCGCCACGGTGAACGCTGGCACACCAGGCTGTGAAGGACAGGGGTGCTCAGGGCCATGGGGCAGCACACCCCAAAACTACAAGAGGAAAGATGAACTGGTCTTCCTACCTTAAAAATGCCCCCCTTCTGCCAGGCAATCTTCTCCATGGTGTCCCCCAGGATGCTGGTGTGGTCGATGCCCAGGGAGGAGACCCCACACACCACTGGTGCCCTGGGGATGCAGCATGGCAGTGTCCCCACTCTCACCCACACTGTGGGGACACCAGGCCCTGGCAGCCCTAGGGGACAGGCTTGGCCATGCCAGTTCCTACCTGATGATGTTAGTGCAGTCATAGGCACCACCAATGCCAACCTCCACCACTGCCAGGTCCACCTAGGGACACGAGGACACTGGAGCTATCACAGGGCCACCAACAGCATGTGTCCCCATAGATTAAGGGATGTGGCTGGGGCTGGGTCCTGCCACCACCTCTTCCAAACCCATGCCTGAACACATACCCTGCTTGTGGGGGGGGGTTATCTACCTGGCACAGCATCCTCTAGTTACAGCCACAACAGCCTGACCCATGCAAGCTCTGCCCCAGGTGAGGGCTGGATGCCATGTCACCCTTCCCTGAGGTCCCCAGCAACCTGTCATCCCCATCACAAGCTGGAGGCCACCAGCACTTACCTTCTCCTGCAGGAAGACGTGGAAGGCCATGATGGTGAGGAAGCGAAAGTATGCCGGCATGCTGTCGTGCACTGGGTCCTGCCAGGCAGAGCGGGAATGAGGGGACAGCACGGGGCATCCCCCTCCAGCACTGGGGCACGTGGCCTGGGATGGGAGACCCGAGGGAGGGAGCACCCCCACAACCCCTGCTGCCCCCACCTTGGTCTCCTCCAGGCGGTTGTAGACCAGCCAGAAGTACTTGTTGAAGAGGTCCTGGCTGATGGGCTGTCCATTGATGCGGATCCGCTCGCGCACCTGCACGAGGTGAGGGGAGCTGGGGGGACAGAGCACAGAATAGTCAGGCATGGCACCACTGCCTCCCCCAAAACCCTCCTGAGCCCCTGCCCACCTGTAAAAGCCTGTCTTCAGCCCACAGCTGCGGAGGATGCATTCAGTGAAGGCACACGCTGAGCCCTGAGGAGACGGCAGCGATAAACGCCCCGTGCCAGGGCAGGGGCAAACAGAGCCACAGGCACCAGCAGCTCCCCCTCAACCCCCCACAGCACCCCCCGCCTCACCTTGCCCTTCGTCCCCGTGACGTGGATGATGTTCAGTCGATCCAGGTCCTCGACCTATAAGAGTTCAACCACCCTGTGAGACCCTCGCGGCAGCCGTGCCGAGCGCGGCGGCACGGCCGGCAGGACAGGGACGGGATCTTCCTTCACCTTCAGCCCACTCCTCTCCAAAAACCCCCGCATGGCTTCCAGCTGGGCCTGGGGGTCGCCACGCTCCCGCTTCACCTGCTCCAGGTAGCTGGCATTGGTCTGCAGGGTGTTGAGCATCCGGATCGCATCCTGCAG